GGTCTCTCCCGTCGATTTCGACGTATGAGGATCTGACAACTTATTGCTTCAGTTATGAAAGTATGTGCGATAATCTTAAATGGCATTTAAGACCGGCTAGTGATATACAAAGGAGGCCACATATGAAGCAAGTGTGAGGATTGTGATAAGAAATCACTGTTAGATTGGCTGACCTTTTAGATCTTGCTCTCTCTTCTTGAAGATGATTCAGATAAGCAGATTGAAAATTGCACTAAAACGCGTTGATCTTTATTCTACCCGCTCAAAAGATAAGCGCTCAAGGGTGTTATGTGGTATATTGACTGATGACAAGTTGATTTTCAGCTTGTCTTTGTATCTTAGCCATGAGCGCCCTACATTCTTGTAGGCCTGATCTAACTGTCTGTACATTAGGATCTTGGGTATACTGTCATCAGACATTCTCAAGACATGGCTAGTCCACTGTAACTGAGACTGTATGATATTCCTCCAATATTACGCCTGTTAAACAGGTCTACTTTAGATGTTATGTCTTGAAGCTTAACTCCACAGATTGCACGCTGACAGCTTTTATGGAAAACATCTAGCTGGTGTATATTGTACCTGTATTGAGTCAACGACTCTGAGCCATACAAAAAGATGGCAAGTACAACAGCTCTGTAGACCTGAATTTTCGTATATATATATATATATATATATATATATATATATATATACACGTTTCATTAAATAATATAGACAAGTGTTGTCTATTTATTTTATGTAAAATTTTTTCGTATCTTCTGATAAGCTTGGTAACATTATCATTAACCGAAAAAAGAAATTCACAATATTTATCCATTATTTTTTAATAAAATCTAAGCTTTCGGCTTACTCAAGCCATTATCAAAGATGTAATTACAAACATATCAAACAATATACGGACACGACAGTGATGATATAGTCTGTCATTGTTTTGTTTACATAGTGGATCACTAAACAACGATGAACACGCGCATATAAGACGCTAGAAGCGAAAATCGCACCGCATCTCATGACGTCACACATGACTACACGAGAGTGAATTGGAGAATGAAATAAGGAAAGCCGTTGGTATAAACCAATGGCTTCTGTTACCAATTATAGAAATTATAGACATTTAAGAATATTTGTAGAGATTCCATAGTTGATTTTGTTTAGGTTGGGTTTTAACTGTTTGATGTATAATGCTTCAAGTATTTTTAGTTTTTGTCTATTGTTTTCATGTCGAAGTATAGTTGTGTTTTCGACAAGTATTTTACGGAATTGTGTGTGCGGGCAGGCATGTTGTTTTAAATGCCTAAAAATGTTAGAGTTTTCATTAAAATGTAGTGTCAAGCGTCGTGAAAGCGAGTTTGTGGTGTGACCAACATAAATATTATTTAATTCGTTGGAGATACACTCTGCCAAAGTGCACTTGAATTTATAAACTATGTTGGTTTTTTGCAAATCGCTAACCGGGGGAGAAGAATCATTGCGAAGTATTAAGTTGGATATACTAGATTTAGTGTAGTATATGATTAATTTAATTTTTTTGCTAGGATCTGTAGTTGATATATTAGAATTTACTAAATTTTTTAGTATGTGTTCATCTTGTTTATAATTAGTATGCATTTGATTACGATATAGGAGATTAATATATTTGAGATCAGTAGAAGCATTTTAATGAAAACTCTAACATTTTTAGGCATTTAAAACAACATGCCTGCCCGCACACACAATTCCGTAAAATACTTGTCGAAAACACAACTATACTTCGACATGAAAACAATAGACAAAAACTAAAAATACTTGAAGCATTATACATCAAACAGTTAAAACCCAACCTAAACAAAATCAACTATGGAATCTCTACAAATATTCTTAAATGTCTATAATTTCTATAATTGGTAACAGAAGCCATTGGTTTATACCAACGGCTTTCCTTATTTCATTCTCCAATTCACTCTCGTGTAGTCATGTGTGACGTCATGAGATGCGGTGCGATTTTCGCTTCTAGCGTCTTATATGCGCGTGTTCATCGTTGTTTAGTGATCCACTATGTAAACAAAACAATGACAGACTATATCATCACTGTCGTGTCCGTATATTGTTTGATATGTTTGTAATTACATCTTTGATAATGGCTTGAGTAAGCCGAAAGCTTAGATTTTATTAAAAAATAATGGATAAATATTGTGAATTTCTTTTTTTCGGTTAATGATAATGTTACCAAACTTATCAGAAGATACGAAAAATTTACATAAAATAAATAGACAACACTTGTCTATATTATTTAATGAAACGTATAAATGAAAATATGCTGCCTAAATACATACAATTTAAATTACATGATCCAGCAGCCCACAATACTATCAATACTTGGAATTACAAATGTAGCCTTCTGAAAAGGCAAATCGAAATATCCAAAGAAAAATTAAACAACTTTAACAGCAAAAAACAGGACATTTACGATGAACTACAGGATATAACTACCCCGGACCAACTGGAGGAAATTACACAT